CACACATACAGCTGTTCACAGACACCTGTCTGTACATATAACCCTGTACACAGACATACATACAGCTGTTCACCAACACCTGTCTGTACATATAACCCTGTACACAGACACACATACAGCTGTTCACCAACACCTGTCTATACATATAACCCTGTACACAGACACACATACAGCTGTTCACCAACACCTGTCTATACTTATACCCCGGTACACAGACATACATGCAGGTATTCACATCTGCCTGCACAAATACAGGGGCAGTGGGTGCCCGGTGCCACTGTTGGCTCACAGGTGTTGTGTCAGGATCCGCTGAATGTGAGTTTGAATCCTAGATTAGATTAAGATCCCTAATTTGTGAGCACCACACCCTGCCCGTTGGTGTCTCTAAGAAGATGTCTACAACCTTTATCACTGTGAGCTTTCCTCTAACATTCAGCCAACATGCCCAGATATTACTGGAACCAACGTGTACTCCTATGTAATTCTTTTATGTGCAGTTGTTTACCTATGTCTGTCTGTACAAATACATCCATAATTATCCACATGAAGAGCCAGATTAGATTTGATCTTCAGCAAACCATGCCTATTGTAAGAAGAGAGTAACAGGATCGGGTGGTCAGACTTGCTGACTTGTTTGACGCTTGTCATCGATACCCCAATTGTATAGGTTGATGCTCATGATGTCAGTCACTTGATTGTTTGGGCCAGACTTGTTTAGGGCTGGAATATTGCTGGATGCAGTGTTAAACAACTAACAAAACATCCATAATTACATATACTTATAACTCACAAAATGATATTTTAAAATTTATTTATTAACATCAGATACATTATTGTCAGAAGTATGACTAAAATAGAAGGTATATAAAAGATACAATATAGAGTAGAAACTATATATATAATGTTTTGATGAGAGATGTCTTTTAAGAACAATACATACATATATTCAGATAAAGGACACATGAGTTACTTTTATGTGAACAGTATTAAATATTTTTATAAGAGATTGTGTTTATACCCCCACTTAGAAATTTATTCTATCAAGATCAGGTGGACCAATCAGATCTCATCATTCAGAGTGAGTGGTTGAGTTGGGTTTAACGCCGCTTTTAACAGTACTCCAGCTTATGTCAGTATGTCAGCTTAATGTGGGAGGAAAGCCCGAAGTGATGGAGGTCTCAGATGTTTACCACTTCGGTAAAACCAATGAGCACGGGTATGGTGCTGACAAACCTAGAAACATAATCAGGGTGAACCGGGATTCGAACCCACAATCATAGGTTTCTGGCGTGCCTAAGGGACGCAACTCTGCACAGCGAATTGCGGCGCTTTAGATGACTGGGCCACCCGTGCCCCCCTCATCATTCTGACTTGGAGGTATGACAATACATCTTATACAAGTAATGGTACCAATCCATGGCTAATAAAGGTACTAATACACCATGGCACATTGTTGTACCAAGACATCCTGGTCCATAATGGTGTGAACACATTATAATGACATACTGACAGTATGTACACAAGACATGTAATGACTAAAACATGCCACAGCTTATGACAGTACTAACATGACATGTATTGAGACAGTTTGGCTATAATGGTGCAATGAAACATCACAGGTTAATGTGTAAACAAACCATAGCTAATGATCGTTACATGTCATGGCTTACAATGACACCAAATACAAATCATGACCAATAGTCAATGTACGAAATTGTTCCAGATGCTTGAATATAAAACATGGATAATACAAGATCCAGATACAAGAAGACACAATATGAGAAGCAGATATGGAGGGTGCTCCAATGACTGATGGCAGCATATGCCAAGGGAACAATGGGGTCTAGTGGGAGAAGGTACCATTGAGTCCCAAAGGTCTGTTGGCAGATGTGGGATCGTCAGGGATGATGCCAGCATATGACAGGGGACCCCTAGGTCTGATGACAATTTGTGCCAACGGCATCCTTAGGGATGATGACCATAGGTGCCAAGGATGTCCCTAGGTCTGATGACCATAGGTACCAAGGATATCCCTAGGTCTGATGACCATAGATGCCAAGGATGTCCCTAGGTCTGATGACCACCGGTGACAAGGATGTCCCTAGGTCAGATGGCCATTGGTGCCAAGTATTGTGGTCTCCCTTTGCGGATATGACACCAAGGCGCTCCGGTCCGAACGTGCACTTGACTGGCCATCTAAAAGTGCCAATTCTGGGTTTGCGAGGCAATTGGTCCAAGGTCAGATACTGCTCTCTTGTTCGTTGTTTACCACGTTAGTGAGAATTTGTTCATGGAACTGATAACCGACCTGTAAGATGCTATCTAGAGTATCGCTGGACCAGATTCCCACCGGGGTGAAGGCACTTGACACAACAGCAGTATATGCCATGCTGGTACACTGTGTACCTGCATTCTCAGCCCTAGAAAAGAACAATACTGTATGAAGACACTTGTTGCTTACCGATTTTACTCACGGAGATACATGACTAGTTCAAGAACAGGGGTGTGTGTGATTAATGCATTGCTTCATACAACAAGAATAACTGCCCCAAAGAAGGATTGTAAAATATAGTTGATGTGGAAAAAGAGTCAGTGGAAACTATACAATAAAACTAATAAACTAATAAAACGGAACCATTTTGACACAGGTACCCATGCATGTTAATCACATTGTTATTTTGAATACGCTGTTGGGTCAACCCAAAGAGATTTGATTCGAAGTGGACTAATATCTTAAAAAGAATGCAAACAACATTCAATTTGTCCAGATACCTATACAGGTGTTCACATTTGTTCTCCAGGTAAAAATTAACTTTCCATTGAGAATACCTCATCCCTTCATATTATATCCTACAAGTATTATCCAGCTATCACTTACGGTCCAAAGATCCCCTCAACTGTTCCCTGATTGAAATTCCCCATCACTGAATAGCGGCAGTCTGGCAAGTCCCCTGAGGTCACGGCGGTGCCCTTGGCCTGCGTGGTAGCGGACTTGGCCTGCGTGGGGGCGGACTTGGCCTGCGTGGGGGTGGACTTGGCCTGCGTGATGACGGACTTGGCCTGCGTGGGGGTGGACTTGGGACGGATCGGCAAGATATCCTTTATAGTATCCTGAATCTGGAGTTCTGAACAGGAAGTGACAACTGGGTGGTACCCAATGCCCCCACACGCACATGTCCCGTGGCTTCCCGACCAGGTGTAGTCGTTTGGTTTGGGGTGTAACACTCCCTTCAGGTTTAAGCAGTGTTGACGGACATGATGGGTTGGCCTCGGGGCTGCTTCTTCTGGCACTGTTGGTTGGGGAGATCTGTGAAGTTAAGATATAATCTTTGTGTCACAAGTTCTTTCTCGGCAAATCTAGGAGAATTGTGGATCTTTTCAAACTATAAGAAGATATATTTGGTCTGTTACTTGGTAGCGGATTAGAACAAGAACCTTTCTTTCCTTGTTAATGTAGAAAGATGAAATAAAACTTGCAATAAATCTGTCAATAAGTAACGTTGTAATAAGTTCATCCATTACTTGGCCAAGGTAATGAAAATAGCCACTAAAATAGGTCATCTTAAAGTTGCATGCACACGATTTCTAAGATTTATTCATATATGAATGTGCAAGATAAATGTAAGTAAACCTAAACATGATATAGTAATTCAACTCACTTCTTGGCAACCGAGGATTTATTTTTGTATTGAGCCTCGTCCTGCAACATTAAAGAAATATTTTATATCTAGCGTGTATTATATATATATTTATGTATCACTGGAATTCAGGAATTTAGGACGAGTTAACAACGTTTTATTGCACAGACAAGGCTACGAATAGGTGTTGACATCATATATCACGCATAACGTTTGAGGAAAAGCCACAACAATTAGATGACTGGTTTTCTGGAATTGCTTCCTATTTTGACCAAATTCAATATTTTTTAACTACGACATTTGTAAGGACACGAACACCTGTCATGACAGAGGTAAAACAGGTAAAAATGCTATAGCATAATCACTGATTTACTATTGCTAAATGATTTTGTAACTTGAAGACATGTTGTCAGTTCTTAATCCAGTTAATGTCTTGCCTTCAATTGTTTACTGCCGCTTAGAACAGTTTTGAAGTGGTGCATGTTGATCTTACTAACCAATATTTTCAATGACAAAAATGACAATGACTAGAAATTGACACTCGTCCTATTGTCCTTGCAAAACTGTCCAATGGTTAAGTATCCTAAGGACTAGTAGAAATTTGCCCTTTTTAAGGGTTTTGCTATATGTTATTTTTTAAGGACTAGCGTTAGTTTATAATTTGTATCGTTGTTAAGCATAAAACCGTATATTTGACCTACCTCAATGTGCCGCATACATGGCAAGCAACTCAGAAAACTGCGAGCAACATTCGCCGGCTTCAAGTTTCCGCTTTCTTCCTCGACGAATTGACCGATATAACGAACTTAATTTTAGTCCCGGCCATTTGTTGTATATATGCTATGGTTATTACGAACTAAAATTAATGGTCCCGTTGTGTTTGTTATAACCGCAGTTTACTGTATTTCGTTTTAGGAACTGTGGAAAATTGTCAGAGTACCAGTATAATAACTTAAGCCTTGTACCTGATTGCTATTTCCAACTTTTTTTTACGAGACATTAACAAGCGATGGCCTGAATCTCTGCATGAATATAAAAAAATAGTAATGTCTTGTAATGTTTTCTCGCAAAATTGATATTTTCGTTAACCAAGTGTGTTATCGCTTTTTCGTACGCCTAATGTTAAAGATGTGTTTTTACTGCGTACAATATATGCGAAAAAGCATTTTTTTCCAGAAACTTGTTCCAAAAATTAGGATGCGCATTTTATTCACTCAAGTCTACATGGTATACAAGTAATAACGTTATATTCTATATTCCTTAGGTCTTGTGCACTGATAGTTAAAATGCGATAGTTCCCAAAATGTTATTTTGTAGTGGTATGCAGATCTCCATGAGGGGAATGTGCAATTAGAGTTATGTGCCCTTCAAACGCGAGCAGACGGCTGACAGGAATAACAAAATATACGCTTACATCAGAAGGAAATATGACATTATTAAGTCTAGCGATTGAAAAAGATGATGTTTCGAAGACAAAACCTTCCTTCCAAGGACCGTAAATCTCCGTGGGTGCTCTAACTGTATCTCTACATGGTGAGGCAAATGTGTGACCATACAAGGATGGGTCCATTTTTTTCTTACAGAGGTTGAGAATAGACATGAGAAAATCAGAGTCAGAAAGAAGTAATTTTGATTTAACGTTTTGAAGGCTACTTTAGCAAAGAGCAAAATATTTTGATTTATTCGGCAGTTTGACTTTGATAGACATCAACAGACATGGTGACATTGATGGATTCAGTTGTGATCAGCTGATGACTTGGATCCACTCTTCAACGCTTACATTTTCACCTTTCTCGATTATTAAATTGTGTACAACAATGGCGAGTTTATGCCTTAAAACATTGATAAGACAGCCATAGCAGGCTCTAGTTTCTTGGCAGGTGAAAAATATTTGACATTGATTAGTGGTCCATATTAGGATTTCCTGTTTGTTAAAATCAAGGATGTGCTCGGTTTTATTGGGCATGACTCATGATAGTTAACACAATAATAGTGCACAAAATATAAATACATGTTAGGATACTACAGAATCGACCAATGTCTAGGTTCCCATGATGTACCCTGTCAGATTAGCACCAGTGGTGACAGTGTTTTAGAACAGGTCCCCAGTGCTCTGTTGTTTCTCAAAAGAGCCTGAAGAGGTTACTGAATTGAATCAGGTGGTCAGGCTTGGTGATTTTGTGTAAGACACTGCTCATTATATAACAACCACTAGTTTGCCAAGTTCAGACATGATAATATACAAGTTGCCGTGATACAGGTGAATGTTGCTGAGTGGCAGAAAACATGGACAAACAGTTAGATTTGATGTGTTCTATTTACCCAGTTATTTACAGGCCACCTGCTGTTATAAAGGCGGAATATTTCTGAGTGCTGCTTTAAACGACAAACCAAGAACAAATTGATTACAAGGAACATCTCTTGAATGTCATGCGGATCATTGTAAAATATCTGTGGCTAGTCCAAATACACTTTTTCATTGTTTTGGATTTTATTTAAAGAAAGAACCAAGGCATGCCAGGTGTGATAGAAACTAGAACAGGAAATCAGGTAAACTAAATGTATCCACATGATTTGATAACATGATTAATTCTATGAGAAAAATTGTTTAATGTTCACCAGAGTTCATAGCTTGTGGCGGCAAATGTGGACTGCTTCTGTTAGTTTTCTTTTAGAGAAGTCATGGAGCAGTCCACGTTTGCTGCCACAAGCCATCAATCAACAGAGATCAAAGCTATTTCATCCCATCCACCTACTATGAACATGTGATGAACTCAATAAGCAATAATCACAAAACCTATGCAAACTTATCCTGTATGATTGGCTTCATGTCTCATTTGCTTCCAAAGAAGGATAATTGTGGCAGTATTATCCTTCTGTTGTCGTTACCTACTCATGTTATCCCACTCATGTATGCAATTGTTGTTACTGTTAATCCTTCACCTCCTATATATATTCTGTACCATGTTCCTCCTCATTCAGTAATGCTTGACAACGGTATAAGGATCTATACCGAAACATTGCCTTAACCATGTTAACAGTATTTAAGAAGTTGTTATCCATAAATTGCATCTACTTTGTCATTCAGCAACTTCTAAGTAATGCCTATCAACAATAAATATGCCATGAAGATGAAAACAATATTTTGAATAACTCTGTTCTATGTAACAGCATAAGGGATGTGTTGTTACCCCCCAGAAAAAAACAACAACATGTTCCCCAGCATTCCATTTATTTATTTAATCACTAATTCAGATTCTCTTATTAAACTTGCCAAATATCTCATATGTTTTTATTTAAAACACAGGAAGAATTGTAAACTCTTTGTAACTCTCACTAGACAACATTTGTAACTAAATTTGTACTAAAGGTCTTTAGGCCTGGACTATGAATAAACTTTGTCTGTCTGTCTGAATTTTATACACTTTGCAGACACATTCTACAGTAGATACTTTTTAACCTGTTTCAGATAACACAGACATGATGAAAATGTCAAATTTTATATGTTTTAATTAATCATGTTAATATTGCAGGAAACAATGAAGACACTGTTTGAGCTGACAGCAGAATTTGTGGGAGAACATGGGCACCTGTATCCAAAGGCTGCCTTTGCCTGTAAGTAAGACTACCATACAACAGGCATTGAGCAGGTCCAGAACTTCATGACTCACATTTAGCATTGTTTAGTTGCAAAATTGTCCATATGATATTTAAAGATTTAAATCAGCTATACATCCTGAGAGATATGTCGTACTACCATGTCATTAGCATGATTAGTTACAAATCTGTGTATTTGAATCATGAATTCAAGGGCTTCTTTCTAGCAGGGTTTTACACAATGTGAAATGTGCGTCCAGTATGCACAAATGTGTAGAATGGATGCAGAAAAAAGTATATAGTGAGTCACTCAGGATTTACAGTAATATTCATTGTACCACATTCTTGACAAGAAATATACAGGCCCTGTGATTAAGTTCATTATTAAATCTTACAGTACAGTACAGTACAGTACATAATTGTATTACTTAGGACCCTCATATTTCCTGTTAGGACCTTTGAAATTGGTTACTAGGTGTACTCTGGACCCCAAGTTGTGTAAGTCAATGTAAAACCCTGTTATAGGAAACTCATTTAGCATGATTAGGTAAATAACCCGGAAATATTTATTTTAGTCTGTGCTTCACTGTCTTGTGATCTTGATACTTGTGGATATATGTTGCACACAGAGGAAATATTTCTATTGTTAAACATGTTAAACAGCCTGTAATATATGTCAAATATATGTCTTTACTTCTATTTTAGTTTATCATGTTTGTGTTTAAACCATGTAAACAGTCTCATTCACTATACAATTATTTGTTTGGAAGAGTTAAGAGATATTTTCTCAAGGAATAATGAATGACCATGTTGACAAATTTCCAAGCATTTTTTTGCTATTTTACCCAAAGGTCAGCCACGCACAGTACTTGAGCTGGTTATGATGAAACTGAGTGCTGCTGATCTCTATAGGCTGGATGACATCCTGTGCTGCCAGGGTGAGGAGAATGACTGAAATGCCCTTTAAGCGCTTTTATTGACATTATATACAATTGCTTTTTGGTATTGATACTCTTGTAGAGTAAGGCGTTCATCACATTAGCAATATTTATTGTTATGCACTAGTTTCAATGTGTCAGAATTAATGCTAGATCTATGTTGAAGAATATCATGTTCATTGACTTAATGTTTTTCCAACAATACAAACAGTCAGAAAGAATCAAAATTCCTAGTCCAACAACTGCTAATTACAACTTTATTTACAATTCTGTTTCAGGTTTAGATGTAGATGTTGTATGGCATCATCACTGCCAGACCCTCAACTTGCTCCGACGAGGTGTCAAGGATGTGTTTGGGGAGTCAGATGGTATAACCTGCTACAAGGATATCTACCATTACAAACAGTTCCATTCTCTGCTGACAATTCTCTCTCTTGATACATTTGCTGCTGGCATGTGTGGTGAGATGTTGCTATTATCAGACAAACAGACTTAGTTTAAAATTAAGCTTGTCAGACGAAACAAAATGTCCTACACACTCGGAATATTCATCCTGAGATTTATTGAACATCAGGAACAAGGGAGTTAAACTTGTCAAATCAGACAGATAATGTTTTATGAGAAAAGATCTTTTGACATGTTTGAAACAGCTACATCAAGCTTTGAATTTTTAGTTGAATCTGCTCAGACAGCAGGGGTAAAAATGGATTGTTTATCAAGTGTGGCACAGGGCACTCACAATTATCTTTAGGTCTGTTTGATCCATCTTCCAATTTGGTAAATTTTTTTTTCATCATGAGCTAGATAAAATGCAGTGTAATTTAAAATGTTCTTCTTTTTCATTGAGATTGATAATTCCCTTTTCAACTTCAAATCTAGGGACCATAAATCTGCAGAACAGAAGATTACGAAGATGAAATACTCATATTCAAAGCAGCATTGAATCGTACTCACCCATTAGGGACCCACGTAATTCCAATTTGTCATTTCCGATATATTTTGGTATGTTTTTGATATTATTATTTTGATATTTTTGTTAATTCATATCCTGAAATAACTATTTTTTCAGATGTTCCATCACCGACTGATATGTACACAGTGCCTTTGCACAAACTAAAACAAGGACAAGGTTCACGCCAGGCAGATGAGGTCCATCCATCCATCTACAAATCTTTTCTTATGAAATGTGCAAAGTATTGCAAGAAACTTGTTTTAAATGGACGACATGTACACTATATAGCTTCAGATGAAGAACTAATGATGGAACTGATCAAACATACTGAAAAGCTTGTCATCTCTCCACTTACAACATTTTGCTTTTATAATTTGAAGCATTTCCTAACCCAGCTTTTGACAGAAGGGCACCTTGAACAAATCTCATTACGTGGGTCATCACTGAGCGAGAAAGAATTAACACAGCTGTTAGCCATATGTAGTGGCTGTCCTTGTCATGGAGAGGAAACTGCCATGTTTAGTGGTGGGAAAGAAGTTGTGAAATCTGTTTCCACTACCATGTCCACCCTCTTGTTGAAAAAGTCTTTCACAACTGCACCAGAAACCACAAAACAAAGCTCCTCAAATGAATCATCTCCGGGATCTTCAGACACATCATTAAAAGATCAGTTAAACCAGTTATACCACAGAGACTTACAGGACAAAGTGCTGGACTGTTTGCTGGATCAAGCAGTCCCCAGCAGTTCAAACTCTCAGACACAGGCAATGTCATCAAGTGATACTTCTTCAGAAACTAGTGCAATAGGTAGTACCACTCCACCCAGATGTCTTTCACCCCAGGCTAAACCTTACAGCATACCTACCTCACCTTTAGCATCAGATAAATCCAAGTCCATACTCTCAAGAAACACTTTGAGCAAGTCTAGCTCAAATCACCAGAGTCTGTCAGCAACTGCAGTTTCGAGGCCGAAAGTCCATAGGCGTGTATCTGATTGTCTGGCAGCTAGTAGCTCCGCCAGTGAATGTTCTGCTGCTTCCAGTGATTTGATCCATAGAAGTAGGTCTTGTGAAAAGCTCTGTGTAGGCTCTGGTGGAGTTCCGATCTTTGCTATGACCAGTGATACTGGAACTCTGACAGCTGGTGATATTATCAGTCAGTATCTACCACATTGGAGCAACTTGAGAAAACTGTATGTCTTTTTGAGTGCAGGTAGGTTAAAGAGGATTGAATTTATACCTTAAACCCATTAAAAAGACTCAGGATACCTTTAACATTAGATGAACTGACTCAGGCAAGTGGACTGGTGCAATTCCTTTCCTTCTCAAAGTTTAACAAATTGATGTATGTGTGATGTATCTAAGTTCTAGCATTCAGTAAGCAAGGTAGGCAAGACATAATTTCATATTATGTTTTGTGATGTTAACTCGTTAGAGGAGATCAATAATGTAGACATGAATAACAAACCATAAAGTTAATTGCTAGCGAGACCCTGGCCAGTCACATCAAACAGACAAGCATGTGCAGGATAAAGCAAGTAGAAATAATTTCCTGTTATCATGTCATACAAAGCAAATTTTAAACTTATCTTATCTCACACTATGTATTTCTTCCTTCTTCTTTTGATCCTATGTGGAAACATGCTTGAACATGGTTTCCAGCTTCTAAAACCAAATCACCCGAACACATCCCAACACCAACATGGTCACTATCCAAGCAAATGGGTAACGCACTGTAATCCCGTGCATAACAACCTACATTGTACATGACCTCATCACCCTTCACACATTATTCTCTTTCTCATCGCCACACTGTGGAAACGTGTTTTGGGAATATTAGAGAATACATTTTTGTTTTTTTATTTACCAAAATGTGTTACCAAGTTGGCTGTCTCTTCCACTGAATGACAGTCATGAAACAACCTCTTACATCTAGCATACCATCCTTGTTTTTTATTTATTTGTTGTTTAGCTGTTGCACCTGATGGCATGATGAAACCTTGTTCAAGCACATTTCCACATAGGATGGAAAAAGAAGGAAGAAATGCAGAGTATGAGATACTAACATAACATATATCACATAAGCCTCATAAGCACATAGTCATCATGGTAATCTATATTATATGCTGACACTCTTTACAGACTAGACCCGTGAAGATCTGGGTTAGAATAAGCCCTCAACCCATGCTTGTCATAAAAGACGACTATGCTTGTCGTAAGAGGCAACTAACGGGATCGGGTGGTCAGGCTAGCTGACTTGGTTGATGCATGTCATTGTATCCCACTTGCGTGGATTGATGCTCATGATGTCAATCACTGGATTGTCTGATCCAGACTTGATTATTTACAGACTAATGCCATATAGTAAAACACATTGAAACTGAAGTGAACTGAGAAACACCAAACAAGTTCTTATTTGATTAATTTTGATGATTGAATTGAGTTTTGGAACATACACCCTTTCACAACGCTGAGGTGACCATAATTTTGTTAATGTTATATATGGTAGTGTTTAACAGGGTTATAAATGGTCTGTCAATAACCCTAACTTCATCTTGTTCACAGGACTTATGAAAACTGTTCTGGAGTTGGTGCGCCGTAAACAACTGACACACCTAGTTGTTGACACAGGCTTTACAGATATGTTCTTAGAATGTCTTATACACCTATTTATGTGTCACTACCAGCACAGTGAATATGTGCGGTGAGTATGTCTGTTTAATATGGTTCTGCAATTTTGAGGATTGGTATTAAAATATTTAATAACTGAGTTTGGAACATAATCATGGTTGTAAGATGCTATTAATATTAGTGTGTATGGGGATGTAGACATGGTAGACAGGATTTGATAATTGATCTGTATATATTTTGAAACAAAATTTATTTGCCATGTTTCATAATGATTTACCAATTGTTTTGATAGGTCTTATTGCTATTAAATGCATACTTATCGAGTTATGAGGACAGTTGCCTTTTACCGGGTATTTGCCTTTTCTATTAAGGGGGGACATATCTTAGTTTTACATATGTTAGTGGTATTTTTATTACTATATTTCAACTACTTGATTATACCCTTCCAGTTCAAAGCCAATGGAGTTCTTTCAAATATCTGGATGCAAGCTCATCTGCATTCAAGAACCTGTAACCATCAAACACAGTGAGTACTGACTAACCCAGGTTCGATTCCCGACTTAGGTACAATGTGTGAAGCCCATTTCTGGTGTCCCCTGCCGTGATATTGCTGGAATATTGCTAAATGTGGCGTAAAATCAAACTCACTCACTCACTAATGGCATGTTGGCACCAAACTTTCTTGTGTTATAATCTGTATAAACCGTTAAAGTGTTTCTAATTGGATAATCCTGAATAAGATGTATCAAAGTATACTTTACATGTCAAAATATTTGTCTAACTTTGGCCAGTACTTTCTGAAAGTATTGCAATAAACATTTTGACATGATTGGATAAGACTGTTATCTGTTATAGTGCATACTTTTTTGGTATATATATATATATATTTGGTGATATAAAAAAATATTTGATGCTTCTTCTTGCAGAGCTAGCTGCAGTGAAGGTTTTAGATTTGAGTTGGAACTCTTTCGAAGAACAAACATTCAACCTCCTGCTGGAGTTCATCAGAGCTGATACTGCTTTGAGAGGTTTGAGGCTGGCCTCGTGTCATTTGCAGCCTGACAAGATACGTCAAATTCTTGATACTCTGATTGTAAAACAAAGGAACACAGGTAACAACTCAACTAATGACATCCTGTTGACAGTGAATGATCACTAACCATGCTAACAGTGCTAACATGCTAATTTACTGTCTATTCCATTTTATGCTATAGTTACTGGACCATGGTTTGATTCTATGCTGCAAATTAGTGATAAATATAAATATGATATCAAAATAAGTTATTGAAGATGTTGAACAACACCATTTAAATAACTTTGTTTTATCCTTATCAGTTACGGAATATTTGAGGATTCGAAAATGTCAAGGTAGAATATTAGATAAAAAGGGACATCCTTTAGAATTTTGGTTATAGTATGCAAGTCAAAACTATCTGGGGACACCACCCTAAACTTTAATGCTTTGACATTAGGATTATGAAATATATCCACATCAAGTCATGGACATCATGAAAATGTATCTGAAACCTTTATGTGAACATTGTGATAATCAACTCCTACATGTACATCTTACCCGTGAAGATTCGGGGTAGAATAGGTCTTCAGCCGCAAAAGGCAACTATGCTTGTAAGAAGCAACAAACGGGATTGGGTGGTCAGGCTCGCTGACTTGGTTGAAGCATGTCATCGATCCCAATAGCGTTGATCGATGCTCATGATATCAATCACTGGATTGTCTGGTCCAGACTTGATTATTTACAGACCGCCGTCATATCGCTGAAATATTGCTTAGTGTGGCATAAAATGACAAACCAACCAACCAACAAATTGTACACTTGTATTTTGAATATGACTGAAACAGGATAATGCAGTATATCAAATGTTGACTTGCTATGTGTGGTAGTAAGATGTTAACATGTTTCAGGTCCTGGTATGGAGGAACTAAGCTTAAATGACAACATGGTAGAAGGTGAGGGATGCGAGCAGTCTCTCACAAATTTTGTGCTGCATTCAATGTCCCTAAAAAAGCTATGCCTTTCCAATGTGGGATTGTCCAACACAATAGGTATGTGTGACATTATGTTTGTAAAAATTGCTAATATATTGGCCCTTATTGGGGTGACCAATCAAGGGGACATGTCTTTCTCTCTTGACTATTAATTCTTTGAAGATGTCTTTTTGCAAGGGTCAGTAATGGCAGGTTCCTCCTTCACACAGATCAGGCCTTGCCTTTCACTATATATTTGTAAGAGTTAGGAATACATTTTCTTTTGTTGTCAAAATGCCAACTGTGAGATGGTCGTTGCCAGGTTTCCTTGAATGAAATGTTAATTTTAAAGATCTTGGCTAATGTTGGCCATAAGATAAGTATGTTATAGAAATGGGAATTGACATAAATTCCTCATTTCTACTGCCACTTGATTCACTAAACATGCTGAACGATCAATGTGTAAAACATTACAAAATGCTTCACCGTACAATGAATGATGACATGTATATACCTGTCACATCTTTGACCTGTATGCTATTGTCTTTCCAGATTTTTGCCCGAGCTTTGTAGATGCAGTAGGAGATCACCAGGGCCTGGAAATACTTGACATCAGCAACAACTATCTGGGTATGGATACAGTTAAAAATGGTTATTTATGATGAATAGAGGCCCAACTTCAAATTATCTTGCCTATGGGCCCATTTTATATAAATACGTACCAATATGTTTCAAAATCCAACTCATGAAAATAAAAAAATGTTCTAAGATTTTAATAGTCCATATGCAAACACTAAAACACTTCCTGAAAATGATACCAAAAGACTGTTTGGCACAGTCTGTAATAATGATAGTGAACTGTGTATTTGCTTATGATACTCTGAATCATGTAATTAAAGCGAATAGGAAATTAATGTGAAAAATCTGACTGTCCCTTGCACCCATTATTTAAAGTGACACCCTTTAATCTTGACATATTGGAGTATATTGCCATGTCAGGTTCCTTGCATATGGGCAGAGACAATGACATATGTAACAAAGCACACAATTAAAAGTGTAATTGAGTGCTACATTTGGACAGTGCATTTCATCAAGTTCCACGTGAAGTGTTGTCTGTTTGTTTAGTAGGAGTGTAACAATATATGAAACTATTGCAATTGTTTGCCCTACAATAGTACTTTATTGATAAGAATTTAAAAATGCCAAAAGTATTGTCAATAGTATGCATAACAATCTATAGTTTCAATAGTTCCAAATAGTAATAAATAAAACATAAATTATGCAAATTTGAAACCTGCCTGTGTGTTGGTTAGCAAGGATTACAACCACTTCAGAATTACTTCCCTTTGGGATGAGTGGCAACAGGGAAGAAAATGGCTGACTTTGAGATTGTCAGCAATAATTTATTCATTTTTATTACATTGAAAAAAATACGTCATGTGTCTTCTTTTATTCAATTTTACAGGAGCCAGGCATTTACAAGTATTAGAGAAGATCCTTGCTCTTTCTCCTGTTATGAGAGATCTGAATGCTGCGTAAGTACATCAAACATGTCAAACATTTGTCAAGAATGCTTGCTACTTGGTGGAAACTTGAGGGTGGGTGTGGAAATTATTTTGAAGCAGAATGTGATTTATACATAAAATATTGTTCATCATTGAAATTTTACAGACCTATGTGATCTGAGATTTTAGAAAAGCTGTCATGCTGAAATCAGGATGTGTGTTGCAAAATGCAGGGTTCACTCTAGGAACTTTCTGACATGGGCCGGCCCTTTATTTGAAAATTTCAAATACTCCAGAGGTATGTCCATACAGTGCAATGTTAAAACGCCCCGTTGTATTTGAAAATGTGGGCCTTTTTTAAAATTTAGGGGCCAAAAGCACAAGGCTCCACCCTAGAATTATCCCTGAAACTGGGAAGTCTAATGCTCAAATTACGCAAAATTTCAAACATTCTTTTTCTTGTAGATTCAACCAATTCAAAGGACAAGATCTGATAGAGATGTTAGACAGACTGGAGAGGAGTAGAAGTAAATTGAAACACAAGATGGACCACCTCAGTCTCAGTCGCAATGTTTTCACAGCTGATGAACAAATGTGTATCGTGAACAGGTTCTCAGTATATGCCCATGAAGTAAGGGCCAATTGTATAGGCATGCATGCTGATCCTCTTGAACATGTGGCACAGATGTGATGTGTAATGGCTTTCTAGCAGGCACTGACCATAAAAGAAATAAAAAGTGTTTTGTTATAGTGAATTGTCTCTGATTGATTTTCTATTGCAGAGTTCTGAAACTGAAATTACATTGTCAAGATGTATGTTTTAACCAGTGTAATAATGGCATGGTGTAACATTTGTTTGCTCATCTCAGTTAACATTATTATGCAAAATTGTTGTACTAGGACCTGTCATTGGTTTAATGGAGAAAGGGTAAAGAAATAGGTTTTAAGAGATATGTTTGTACCACAAGCTATTCTGAAAAAAAGTCTCAATCTATAAGACAATCTGAGCACTTGTGAACTTTTGGTAGAGTATCATTGCTACTGTATTTGTAGAACATAGTCTCAGATTGTCCTGTTAATTTGACACCAGACCATTGTAAGTTAAGTTGGTGTCTAGAAGGATGCGTACCTCTTTCAAGGCATTATTTGTTTAAATGTCAACTTTACACTCATTCAAATTGCATACTTTCTTTCATCAAAACAATTGACTTATCCTACCTATTATCTGCATCTGTCACAAAAGGTAGGCTTGCCTCAACTGCTAAAACATCATAATATGATTTTTAACTTGGTAGGATTGCACTAGTGGGAATAATATCTAAATGGCAGAGGGGAAGAACATATTAACTGTTTTACTTGTTACGGGTGGCCCAGTCGTCTAAGGTGCCACGATTCGCTGTGCAGAGTTGCGTCCCTTTGGCACGCCAGAAAACTATGATTGTGGGTTCGAATCCCGGTTCGCCCCGATTATGTTCCTAGGTTTGTCAGCACCATACCCGTGCTCGTGGGTTTCACCGAAGTGGTAAACGTCTGAGACGTGCATCACTTCGGGCTTTCCTCCCACATTTAGTTGACACGCCGCGATATAACTGGAATACTGTTAAAAGCGGCGTTAAACCCAACTCACTCACTCACCCTCTTTCCTGCTGTATTGTTTACAATATTTAAATGCATTTTCTCTCCTGATACAATTGAGGTGACCTAAGTTTATTTTGAATATAAGGTTTGTTTCTGATCCAAAAAACAATTGAACACTATTATTTGATATAATACAATGTTTATTGCGTGTTTATGAGTAACATGTAAAGAAGCAAATTACCAGGAGTCACTGGAGTTCATAAATCAAAAGCTTTGACACCTAAGGCAAGGCCGTAGTTAACTTTTTTTGACAGGGTGGGGGGCAAATATTTGTACAAGTATCACTTGTCCCCAACTTGTATTTTCGTGATTCAAATAAAACTGTTTTCTATAAAAAAAAAATCAAGGGAGTGCAACTGTCCCCCCGGCTGGCTACGGCACTGTAAGGGTGGCCTCTAACTATCTTTCCATACTATATGTTAAAGTGGTTGATGGTCTAGGTGTTCTCTCTATAAAGCTCGATCATGTTTGATGTATGTATATGTGGGTAAACATATCTTGTTTCAGAAATTAGTGACTGGATTGGTAAAAAGACATGTCCATGTATTTACATGAGGATTCAGATAAAATGTATTCATATACAATAACAATACACTGCATTGGTCAAGGTGAAACAAATTATGAAATGTACAACAATTTATGTAAAAGGACAAATATCAGCAACTTATGAACAGTACATATACATGGTCATTAATCTGTACGTATATGAATAGAAACGTAAACTCTCTCTGGGATATAAGATGCATATACAGGCATACTTGAATGTACTTCCTTGTAATATGTTTATAGGAACATTTATATACAAAGCAATATTAAACTGTACAACTTGCAAATTTACTTGTTTAATAGCAAAATAATAGTTTGTCCATATTAATGAATATATAATTATATATCTACTAATACACATGAAAAACACGTAAAAACGCCAGGCCGAAGCCCAAGGTTCGATTCCCTCAGGTGGCAGTCGACTAACGTGCCTCAAATCATTGTTTTGCTGAGTTATATTCCTAAGGTATACCAGAACTATGTTTGTGGGTTCAAATTCCAGATTTGTCCAGATCATAAATCTTAATTTATCAGCACATATCATTTTGGGGCTTCACCCAAGTGGTGCACATCTAGGATCTGCATCACATACATCTTTCTGCCCACATTAAGCTGCTATGATATAACATGAGATACAGTTTAGAACTGTGTTAAACATAATGCACTCACATAGGAGATATGTAAACAGGACGCTTGATAAGGAATAGCTAGAGTCTCCACTCTATCACTTTGGTAAAACTCATGAATGCAGGTATGATGCTGTCATCCCAAAGTTCATAATTTGTGATTGCTAAGGACTGCTATTCCTACGATCACTGGCGATGGTAAGATATGTTTTTGTAGATGTCATGGGTATGTAACCAAATTTATTAGAAAGATTAGGCAAAGAAAGACTTTCAGTAGTATGAAACATTTCAGTTGAAGATAGTGACTTGTTCACATCAGCTTTATCTGTGTTCTGACAGGGATAGCGATTTGTTGAAGAAATTTCATCGTCCAAAGCTTTTCCATGTATGGTTGCATTGATTTCTTCATATTCAACTGGTCTGCATAGGCCTGGTTGTGAAGGACATATGGTGTCATACTCGCTTATGACTTCGTATTGGTGGGTAGCATCTGGAGGAAGTGGAATTGGGTACTGTGGTCGCCTGCTCAATGGTGACTGATGAAGTTCTTTGATCGATATCCTAGGTAAGAACACAACACTCACACATAATACCAAAAGTGAGAACCTAATTACATGTGTAATTGCACATTGCAGTTATTGTTGTCAATTGCCTTATGTTTGAATTCCAAATATTGAACAAACAAACATATCAAAACAATTTCTTTCCCAACAAATGCCCGATCAGAAGACTAGTAGATGTAAGTATAAGATTACTTACCTTTTACAGATGAAAATGAAAACTGTCATTACAGTGACAACAGTTACAAATGACACAGATGGAATGACAACAACCATCAAAGGTACTTGATCTTGATGGGGGGTTGTTGTTAGAGGTATCTTGGTTGTAATCTCATCTGAAAAATAGTTTCCCCACTTTAAGTTTAATAGCTCTTCAGAATTGTTTCATGCCTGGCTTAGGTCTTGATCTATGTCACCATTTCAGCAAGATTTTAAAAAATGAACGGAAACAAAAACGCCACCTTGTTTAGGGATGACAGTTGATTTTCTTGTCCACAACTTATGTACAGGAACATAGTGGATGTCATATCAGACTTTTAAAAACTCTTGTGAAAAACTAGATTGTATCTTCGTCAAAACGTGTATGACATTGTTTCCTCAACCTTTAAATGTGCACATTTCATGTTAGAAGTATTGGTGGACGCGTGTATACGTTTGTTTTACGATTACATAAAAGATTGACCTAAGATGAGAGCTGATTGCCACGTCAAATCTTTTCCTTTGGAGTTCCCCTTGGAATCTAGTTCCAAGCATTACTCATCATGGCCTTTTAAGAAAAGTCCTGCACTTACAAAATATTTTAGGTTTATGCTTTAATTCAGATATTTTATTGTTTTTATCATGTTGATATAAACCAATGTGCACTATCTATGGGGAAAGCGGTTCAACTACCTTGGCTACTTGTGGTTGTTTCATGGCTGGGTGTCTGGAAGAGACATGTGCCCTCATATCTGTGACAGGGCCTCCCTGTACACTGCATTCTACATTTCTTATTGCATCTCCAACCATAGTATCCAGCTTCACATTCATTGCATTCACCTGTTCCTTGATGGCATTGGTTGTTTACACAGTTGGTACAGTTGGTATTGCAATGTGATCCAAAGACTCCAGGCTCACAGCCGTCGAAGCAGTCGCCGTTGACTCTATGACAGTGACGGTTCTTGCAGAAACTGCTGCACTTCAGTTCACACAATGTGCCGAAATATCCAACTTTACATCCATGAAGACATTGCCCCAAATGTCCACAAGAACTCGCCAAACAGTTTTCATTGCATTGAAGACCACATGACAAGCCGAAATACCCTACATCGCATCCATGACGACAATTACCTCTTTCCTGATCACACTGAGACGTACAGTTCTCGGACATGTATTCATCGAAGCTGTTTCTTTGAATGAAACACCTGTTCTGATCAGTCAGTCTGCAGTGACGATTGCACGGAACATGACAGAACCTTCCGTAGTAGCCAGTCAAACAGCCGTCAACACATCCACCAGTGTCACACGAACTCCTGCAGTAGCTGCAATCTTCACATTTTGACCCAAAGAAACCTTCGATACATTGTGTACACTCTCCAGAATTTCTATCGCATTTAACACATCTGACGGAACACTTCTTGTCACACCGTTCATCCCAATATCCGTCTTTGCACGTACATGTTCCACTTGTAGAGAGGCAGTCATCATGGACACATCCTTCTGAACACCTGATCATGCATGTAGATCCCCATGTTCCTTTCCTGCAGCCATCAGTACATATGCCTGTACCTTTTGTAGGATGCAACCGGCATCTACTGTACAAACACCCTTCACCACATCTAAATTTGCAATGATCACCGTAGTATCCGTCTTCGCAAGCATTTGCGCCTGATCCAAAATTAGATAACACTTTAAGTTGTAAATTTAATATATATAAACTTATGTATGTGTAAAATTACAAATCATTTGAAATTTAGCATTTCAATGAACAATGTCATAATAATGTTATAAAAAGCCATATTAAAGTACCTGTTCACTTCATTTAGAGTCAGTTGGGTTTAACGCCGCTTTGAAAGTATTCCAGTTAATTGCAGAATGTAAGTTTAATATGTGAGGATACCCTGAAGTGAAACCCAGGCATTTTTGTAATTAAGTTTATGAGCCAATTGTATTTCTTTTAATAAACTCATTGCAATAATGTAATTTGTGTGGCATTTTATTTGGTTCGAGAAAATCCCAGCCCAGATATAAAAACCCTTTCAGTTAAAAAAAGTCTATAATTTTTCGTTGACTGATCGAATTCACAAAAAGCGAATGAATTAATTAGTTTTAGTCCGCGTTCGCATTACTGAAATGCGATGTTATATTAAAAGTGCTTTAGAAAGACATTCATTGAGAAACGGACACTCAACCACACTATTTGATTTATGTCATGTAATTTGTATTTCCAAAGAACAATGCTTACCACTGAGGTAGAGGGATGATGCTAGAAACAACGAAAGGTGTAGTGAAGTCTTCATTTCTTCATTAAATGGAGAATATACCCCGCAATAATTAAGTTAGAATAAGCGTCCGTATCCAAGATCATTACATGAATGTTGTCATGTTGTACTTGTTATTTACGCAGTGACTCGAAGCTTTCAGTTTCAGACATTTGACAAAGCTTTGTAACCTTGTCTTAAAAAGTTAATCGAAAGTGTACAAGGAATAATAATTCATAAATCCGCGTTATGACAACGCCCCGTCCATTTCTATCCTAGCCTAGTTACTTAAACTTTACTATGTTTTTTGGGGTAGTGTAAACACAACAAAATCACGTTGTTTCTTATATACTACCGGGGAAAGTAAGGGAACTGATGAGAAATGTCTGCAAAATGAATTTCGACACACATACTGTTGATGGTTGCATACAGTATGGTTACCCTTGGTATTGCCAGCTGCTCCATACAGTCAAGAATTGCTGCCCTGGCATACCGCTCGCCGCTACGTCGCCGACAACGTTTTCTGTCATCTGTGAATCGGAGCCTTGATACGTCTGTGAACATGGTGTACTACCCCAAACTTTGCCGCCCATGGTAAGCTGTTAGGGTCACACCCTTCACAGGACACCTTGCTTTTAGGCGGGGTGTATGGAGCCGTTTTTTAACGGTGGATTTTGAAATTCGCCTTCCTGGTATTGTACGGGATTCGCTATTGATAACAGGATCAGATTTGAATCTATTGTGTAGTGCAAGTTATGTAATGAAACAATCTTGTCTTGGTGTCATTTTTCTAGGCCTGCTACGCCCACTTGGACTTCTGTGTGCACGTGCGTCACGTCATGTTCATGTATTATGTAAAATTTCATTGTGATCAGATGTTGCGTTCCGAAACAACGCCACGTTATTGTAAAACTACACCTTAACGATAACTACATTCAAATCATTAGTTCCCTTATTTGTTTTTGTCGGTAGAATATGAAACAAAACACAATTTTAGGATTAGAGCTTTTTATTTCCGTATTTATTTTCTCCCATCGCCGATCGCTTTCTGCATACTTCTTACACCAACCATTCTCTTCCGTAGGATATATCGCCGACATTAAGTCGATACAAAATACGAAGTGTCTAAACATAACCGAAAGCAGACACCGGGCAGCAAAAACTTGCACGCGATTCATACACTGACCATGAAATACTAACAGAAGTTTCTAAACTTAACATTCAGTCTTTTTTCATTTCTTGCATCATTCAAGAATCTACGGCAATATTTCCATAGTAAAACATGGAAAATACAGTCCGATCACCAATGCATTTTCACTTGGCTTACATCGTCTTTTCGGCATATGGATTAGTGTTCACTCGATTTTCGTTTTCATCTCCCCGGAGGATGTACAACCGAAGCTACGAGGCGCTAGACGGTTAACAGTCACGTTAACATCTCATCCTACCGGGTACCTATTGCTGGAATAACATAGACACATTTCGAAGATGGTCCCATCTTTGCTTGGCTTTTCCCTGTGAAGGGTCTGTGACCAGAGCATGGTCCAGTGCACCAATAAAGGAGTCCACTCTGTGTGGGCGTGAGGTCTTGCGGACATCAATACGTGCCACTCTCCTAGCCCATTTTATAGACAGCTTCCTGCAAGACAGGTCGCTATATCAGTTAAAATAGGGAACAATCAATCTGATCCTATGTCACTGGACAATGGCACGCCACAATGCAACATTATAAGCCCAATCCTGTTTAATATCACGACCATTGATCTATTTGATCATGTCAACTCTCCTACCCAAACTTCTAAACTCTCTGATGACGGAGCAATATGGGTAAAACAAAGAGATATTTCATAAATTCGAAAAAACCCAGTTAGCCCTGGACGGAGTATATCAATAGTGCAATAAACTGTGGGAGCGCTATTCAAACGCGGGGAAAAAGATACTATGATACGTCTCTCCATAAAAGGCAAACCAATCAAATTCGAAAAATCAGCAAAATTTCTAAGGTGATCCTAGATCAACACCTCACTTGGAGCAAACATATTGAATACTAATATGTGGGACACAGGTGTCACGAAGGCCTGAACGTATTGCAGGCAATTCCAGGTACCTTTCGGTCTTGAGCCGCCTCGACAGCATACAAAACAAAGTCCTTATGCTAACCAAAGGTGCAGCAACATGTACTTCACTATAAGAACTACAGTGAGTGAGTGAGTTGGGTTTAACGCCGCTTTTAACAGTATGAATTCCAGTTCTATCACGGCGTGTCAGCTTAATGTGGGAGGGAAGCCCGAAGTGATGCAGTTCTCAGACATTTACCACTTTGGTGAAACCCACGAGCACAGGTATGGTGCTGACAAACCTAGAAACATAATCGGGGCGTACCGGGATTCGAACCCACAATCATAGGTTTCTGGCTGTCCCAAGGGACGCAACTCTGCACAGCGAATCGCGGCGCCTTAGACGACTGGGCCACCAGCCCCCCATGTGATAAGAACTACAGATAGAAACAGGAGAACTCACATTCAAACAAAGAATAGAGCAGGTAATGTTATCGTACTGGGGACGAAGATAATACTCTTTGGTGAAAATGATATAGCAAGTCAAAAACTCCCGAGATGAAGCCCTAACTCGGAAAAAAATCAATCACTAAAGCCATCTGGGACATTAGTGCGTGAAGTCACCAGAAAGTCACAACAAAGGATAACACCCTCCCTGGACTTATAAAAACTCCCAAAGTTGACACTAACATCAGAAGTCACTAAAAAAGAAAACCCAACCCTACTACGACCTGTAGCTATCACTAAAAGTCAAACTACCTGGGACTGGTGGTTCCAAGAATCCTATCAACAACAGTGCTGGTTACGGGATCCATATCCGTAGCTCTAAACCCCAAGCACATTCGGTTCACCTGCCTCATGGTCAGTCAGTATTCACTGCTAAATTGGAAGCAATTCATCATGCACTCCAACTCGGAGCTAACGGAAGCAAAGGCAGACGGGTTGAAACAGGTGGAGCTGCCCCGTTTCATTGTGGAAAGTCATCGTTCTCATACTGTTATGGACAGTGACTTGTGTAAATACATGTCAAATGTAACCTCACAGGGGATTTGTTTGTTGTTTAACGCCGCACTCAGTAATATTCTTGCTATATGACGGGGGTCTTTAGATAATCGAGTCTGGACTAGATTATCCAGTGATTGACATCATGAGCATCGATCCACGCATTTGGGATACGATGCCATACATCAACTAAGTCAGCGAGCATGACCAACCGATCCCCTAAGTCACCTTTTACGGCAAACATGGGTTGCCGAAGACCTATTCTAACCCGGATCTTCACGGGTCTTGCCCCTCTCAAAAACAGACTTACATTAGATATGTGATTGATACACCGGGTCCACACAGTATACCAACTATTATTAGTGTTCCACATGAGAGTGGTAATCGCCTCAGACTTCCGGTGACTCTCACGGGTAAAAACTCGAGTCTTGGCTCGAGTTCGCAGGCCATTGTCATTCAATGTCTAAGGCGGTAACACCATGGAAGTTGTTTGTTAAGAATGGAATGCTCTGTTGGCAACAAAGTCCTTCTGTGAGGAAGCCTTTCGTTGTCGTTAGATTGCAGGACATTGTGGTCATGGCACGGCACATTGATTGTCAATAGACATATTAAAGGTCAGCTAACTACAGATGCTTCAGATGAATTGCTATATTCGAGGGGAAAGGAGCAGCGGGACACTGGGACAAAGATTTATCACATGTCCCATCAAATGTGAAAATAACTTAGGGAACGGTTGTCCCAGAATATGCCAAATAAATAAGTATGCCTGAGATTGTTGAAAACTTTGTCTGAAACAAAATACACGCACGCGCGCACGCACGCACGCACGCACGCACGCAGACATAGACGTCTGAACTATGGCATCAACCACACGAGTGGTCCCAGCAAACGACAGTCGAACACAGCAAACCCTGTATGGGCAACGGCTCTCTAATACAACATACACTTGTCAGCAAAACATTTGGAAGGCCGGTTGAATACAGGTGCATACCCTCTCACGACTAGGTCCCAAGTACGAGTTCAGTCACACATTCAGGATTTTTACTGCCGTCCTTCATAGCACCATTCCCGTATAATTTGTCAAAAGTCTCATAAATATCCTTTGATTCGTGGTGGGAAATTCACAAACAATCAGATATTGTTCAGGAAGCGTCCCGATTCAGCCTTTCCAGCCACATTCGTCCCGATTCTCCCGTTATCAATCCGAATCTGATCCGATTGGTATCTTCCGCATGGTAAAAAACGACCGAATCTGTCCCGAAAGCGTTCCGATTTTCCCGAATGCGATCCGACAGTGATCAGACAGTGACAGGATAGTGAACCGACAAAGACGGTTCGCATTCGGCAAGATCTGGACGCAATCTGGACTCAAACGACAAGAAACGACAATGAACAATTCATGCCCGTTCATCACGACAGCGTCCCGATCCACAGGACACCGTCCAGGCAACACAGGACATTGTTACGATTTTGATCCGATACGGCAAAATCTGTCACGACATAGTCACGATTGTAATCCGACTAGACCAAATCGGCTGAGTTTCCCGAATGTTACTGGACGCACCATACTGTCGGGAGTGCTTGGCCGACCTCTCACGAACGTATCCAACTGCGTTCAGACAATGACAGGACATTCCAGATCATTGAGGATAGTAATCCGACTTTCTCACTTTTCGTGTCGTAGCGCTGTCTGATCTCAAACGGGAGTCATAATCGGTACTGTGTGAACCTGGCCTAACATTCATTTGTTGAAGTTTCTCGACAGAGAGTGGGGCCCACATACAGTTACAAGCAAGACAGATACCAGTCTACAACGGCATGTATCTTGACTGGGCACATCAGGGGTGGGCGCCCTGGCGCAAAGGGACTTTTCAATGCACAACCATTTTCTATACCCGCTTTTCAGGTTTTATGGAAAGGTCCCAGATACCAAGCTCTAGGCGCCGTGAGCAATGGCTATACAGTTACACCCCCGTTGTCTCGGTAGTCTCGAATTTGGTTCAGGAAACGAGTGAGGAAAAATCTGGTTCTTGTGTACTACTACTTTGTATGTTCTGTAGGCGATGTCCATTATACAAAGAAAGTCATGTCTTAACATTAAACGTTTTCTTTAGCCTGACGTGTATTGGTTGTAAAGTATACTGTATAAAGCCATGTATCAAAATCAAAACAAAGACTATGATGTTTATGGGAACTTGTTTTCATGTAATTTAAATTAAGGGATTACTGAAATTGCTAGGCCTAGCTTATGGCCTTACCTTCCAAAGTGTCAAAGAATGTTTGCACCCGACCAAGTGACGCATTGGTCCCCCTTATATTTGCTACAGCTCTGCAAATACCTGTCAAAAGGTTAATTGGTTTGATGATTGTCAGTATAACATCTCTTCAGCTTTTAAGATATGAACACCATATGACGGCGACGAATGTCTTAAAAAATTAAATCTCCCGACCTCTACTACGTCTCGAGTTAAGGATCACGTTCGACAAAGCGACAATTGTAACTCAAATATGTTAACATAGACTTGCGATAGTCGAGCGCGCTAAGATCACTTTGTGGTACCAGGCCCTGAACTCTCGACCGGGTACAAAGTTTGGGTTTATTAATTAAACGATTTCTACAACTGTTTCACAAAAAACCCTCATGCTAATCATGTGAAATACAGGTGTTTATGAGTAATTAAACGTGTGGTTCTCGAGAACTCGCTTGAGTCACTTGATTTACTATGTTATATCGAAAAGCTATATATTCATTTCAGGACGTATAAATAGATACACGGGTACACGGGTAGATCTGCTCGTCCACAGGTGTGGCACTGTCAGTATCCCTCTGAACAACAACCAAACATATGAATGGTAGGTAATGTCGAATAACAAACAAACTATCTAGTTTGTTCAAATCGTTTTGCTTAACAGTGTAGGTCCGACTGGGATTTTGTATGGAGACTAGATATTTATAAGCTACAGATACAAAACGAGATTTTAAAAAAATGTATTACTATGAACCTAATTTCATTTTTAAAATTCCACCTTGAAACAATGTAATATTTGTGTCAGACATTTTTTCTACAGACGAAAGCCTATTTTTTTTTCAAGAATCATTTGCGACAGTCTTTTCGAGGTAAAATAATTACCAATGACAAGGGTAAACCCGCACTGAATAGATATATATTCCAAGTGCCTTCTGTATGTGACAATGTCTTTCGTCATTCGCGCCAGATATTAAATGGCGACAAAGTAATCACTCATGTTAATACTCACTTTCTCAAAATTGCACATGATTTAAACTTCCTAAAATGAATAGATATAAAACATCAATGAAAGAGAATAACCAGTCTAGATTATCCGACGAAACCGATTCCACTGGGCGCTAAAGGCAAACATAACTTTTTGTTTAAAAACAGCATGGATCTTGAATTCATCACAGGGAGACCCGTGAAGATTCCGGGATAGAATAGGTCTTCAGAAACCCATACTTGCCGTGAAAGGCGACTATGCTTGTCGTAAAAGGCGACTAACGGGATCGGGTGGTCAGGATCGCTGTCATCGATCCCAATTGCGTGGATCGATGCTCATGATGTCAATCACTGGATTGTCTGGTCCAGACTCGATTATTTTACAGACCGCCGTCAAATAGCTGGAATATTGCTGAGTGCGGCGTTAAACAACAACAACAACAAAAATCATCACAGGGAACATGTAACTAATAACTACTACATAAGTAGAACATACCATACTATAAAATGTGACTTTCATAAACAGAAATCAGTTTTTTTCTGGCACACATTTATAACTTAACTGCTAAGAAACTAAAGACATTTAGTACATACCAATAAGCGCATGTGTTTATATAATACGCACATAACGTTGTGATATCAAACGACTTAGAAGTTGACATTTACAACGATACATTCTATATGTAAGTATTAAAACCCCATTGATATATGGCTGAAATAATGCCGATGCGACGTTAGATTTCAACTCAGTCACCCACTTCTAAACCCCCCTTAAGATCTTGGCCTCTTTTTCATAGAGCTGGGGTAGTTCACTTGAGCCCGCTGTAAGTCCTCAACACAGCCCCACAACCATGCACACACAAATGCACTGCTAATATAAGTGCAATCTTGAACGAACGACAATCCATTTATCACAGCGTGTGTAGTTTTTGTCCTAACAACTTGACACCTTGTGACAGAGTCCTCCTTCCAACAACACAGAGACGGCAGACTTACTGTAGGCAGTAGGTATCAGTTCCCCGACAACGGCTGATAACTGTCGCATGGTTCGATATTAAGCTGAACTTGTTTGCTGCAGGGATATGAAAAAACGGTTCCCACTCACAAAGTTAACAATGCTAAATTTCAGCTACGATGTTGTCTCCAAAAGTAGTGTTAGAAAGGTGGGATTTTCTTCAAAAACGATAGGGGTTGCTATCTTGTAATACTGTCGCTGAATGAATGATCCCCAAAATATACATACACTCTTCCCAGGGGACGGTAGGGTCGCATTTTAGACTATACTACTGGTATTGAAATTGAATTATTCAGTAGTTGCCGTGAATCTAGCCATCCTTAGTGACCCAAACAGCCGTTTTACAACAACACTTGAGTATCATTCGGTGCCCAATTAACAATGCGCTCTGTGCAACGCGACGGACGGCTAATGACTATTGGGATTCTTTAGATTGTTACAAGTCAGCGTATCGTACGTGGCCAATACAGTTAATGTGTAACATTCTTTTATTATGATTATTAAAATTATATTTGTTGGAGTGAAAACACATATCATAACAGGAGTATGGTATTGCAAATCCCGGCGTTGGGTACTAACTCAGTTTGAACATGAACCCTTTTGTCACGTGACCATGTAGAGGTTTCAATATTTGGTCATTACTCGCTATAGTGGTCAAGTATGATCATGCTGGTCGGACAGAATGTACTGAATAATCATTAGATAACAGTACAGCCCACAGCCCCCATCTCCCTACCGTGGATAACCCTCACTCACTCACTCACTTATACAATGGAGGATATGAATCACGGTATACATTACAATACCAACACTACCAATTACACGGCAACCACCTCTTAAGTAAAGTAGTCAAAAAGATGACCACAATGTTCACTAACTTATCCAAGTACAGTAAACTACGGTTATAACGAACTCAAAGGGACCACTAATTGTAGTTCGTTATAACCGTAGTTCGTTATAAGCATATATATACTATAACTACAGCAAATTTTAGGGACAAAAAAGTTAGTTCGTTATATCCGTCAGTTCGTTATAAGCATGTTCGTTATAACCGTAGTTTACTGTACTATCACCTAGGCAATATTTTATAACATATACAGACTGATAGGTTTCACTAAACACTCATAAAATCAAACACTACCACCGCACACGTAATGATCTCCCCTACATGACCATCAACAAAAGTTGAACATACACATATGCCTTGGCACTGAGGTTCGGGGGATACTATAGTTAAAACTCACAGTGTAGCTAGATTCCTGACCACAAAGCGAAACGGGTCCAACAGATTAGTAATATTGACAGTGAACACAACCCGGACAAACACAAGACACATGCACCGGTAAGGATTCACGTACACGTATATGGGATTAGCTGCATACATAATACATCACGTTCTACCACTTTACGACACAGCAACGATAAAACGCTGAATGTAATTTATATTGATCATTTTAAAGTCGTGTGTAAAAAGTACTTCGTTTCCTATCATTCACGCATAGACTTACATCGCCTGGCTCAAGGTAATAAATTACCTGGTATGTGAATATTGACAACGACCAACGTTTCGCCTTTCTCATTGGCCCCACACACAGAGAGAGAGAGAGAGAGAGAGCTGATCATACTATAAATAACGCCTTAAACACTATAACTAACCAACTCATTATGAAATAGCGTGCTGGTGATTCACACTTGGATTAAACAGTAGGTACTGATTTGTGTTATACTCACGTCTCATGGCATTTTCAGTACAGTGATAATTCAGGTAATATTTAAAACATGATCAAATTCACTGTCATAGTACCAGTTTCACTGTGATCAAAGGAAAATATTGATAAATTTATACTGTAAGACTAAGATAAATACTGGATATAAAGGTAATAATGGAACGAATGGTGGCAAAATACTTAGACAACGAATCTACAAATCAAGAGTCTTAGCGTTGTGTATACATTACACTTCATATTCTTTTGCAGATTCATCGGAAGGACATGTTTGAACTGTGCGGATATTGTAAGTGTTTCCTTTGAAGTGTGGGCTCTCCTAAGTCTCTACGCTCGTGTCAGTAGTCCATATGTACATAATCCAACATAGAAGAAATGTATTAAATACATCGAAAGCCTTGTTTTTGTTTTCTTCTTAGTTTTTGAAATTGCCTTGATTATGCTCCTGTCATGCTGATGAGAATAAGCGACAATGTCCACGTTTATGAATTTAGTAGATCACCTGCCATTTCCCTTATCTATTGCAATGGGACCTCAGCCTGGAGGTAACCTAAATAGAAAGATAACTGCCTTTAAATCAATACTAGTATAATTATACCCGAACCTGATTGTACAGCCTTGTTGTTTCCAACTGTTGTTTTCAGCACTAGTTGGACTCCTTCTGGTCACTCGAGCAGATGGATTTGAATCATGTCCCCAAGGCTTCTGGGGCTCAGACTGCGACAAGACCTGTCCAGCCAACTGTGACGAGGAAGGATCAACCAAGCAAGTGTACTGTGACAAAGATACTGGTAACTGTGCTGAAGGCTGTAAAGCAGGATACTACAAGCCACACTGTGATGTACAATGCAAGGACTGCCAAAGTGGGAGATGTGTTCAGGTCGATGGCGCCTGTTTGTCAGGAGGAACCGCCATGGTTCTTCACCCGAACACATTTCTCATACTGCTGAGTATGCTAATTCCAATCAGCAGGAACAGAATCGCAGTGATAACGTTGACCCTACCATATCTAGGTACGTATATAGCGCTTTTCTCTCAAATGTACGAATTGCTGGATTTCATGTAACGTTCAGGAGATAAACAGATTGACGGGTGTTGTTGAGTGTAAGAAACTTTCATTCGGAAAATCACTTATTGACCACATTAACATATATTTCATGCACATATTTCTAATAAAATCAAAATAATACATTAAAATAACGAACAGAAGTCAAGGTGATCTCCGTCTACCCCCATCTCATTACAACTGCAGAAAAAGATACCAGAACCAGATTCCAGAATTTGACGAGAACTGCAAATAAGCTTAATTAACCCTAACATGTTAATGACTTTCAATTTTGGAGTTAACAGTTTCACACCTACAGACATGATTCGAATTTTCGACCTATCAACATGCACACTGTCCAGAATGAAGACATCAGAATATGATGGCAAACCTCACATGGTGAAAGATGCTACGATAATACCTTTTCGCATAAATTCTTATATTGGATACGAGGTACATATTCATATTGTTACGTGTCGATTTCCAAATTGAAACAATTAGTTAACCCAGAAATCTTTACCTATAACAATTAAGAGTGAAACCAACAACCAACAAATGATATACAATTAGCAATTGTATTACACAATTAACTAGGTTTACAAATCAAAACAAACTACTGCACAGCAATTCCAATGGCAGTATACAATAGAGTGGTAGTACAATATGCCATGACAATATATAATGTGTTTGCAGTGGTCAGTATCAAATACAAACATATGATGGCAGTGGTGACATAAAAAAGTTCAGTGATAATAATACCAACCTATCCGCAACAGTGGTAAAGCTTCCTAGACAGGCCTAGGCTGGGAATCCGGGGTGATAAGTGATCTTCACACGAAAGCTGGTCTTGATGTAATGTCAGATGAAATGTGAGATTCGACAGAATTCTACTGAATCTCAACAAAAACAATGTAATACAGTAACAATCATTGTTTAACAATAACTTACACTGCCGTGCAACAATATGGGTTTTGATCTCTATATAAACAGAATTCAAATAATATTAAGTTAAGATACCTATAACAGAATCCTTTAATCCTTTCATCTTTCATGCTTCACAAGTTTGTTTATACTACATTCATCCATTACTTGCGAAGACATTTTGTGATACTGTCGCTATTTTTAACCAACGAATCAGTTTACTTCGCGCAAACGGCAACTTGACTTACGTGAGCTAAACACGTCCTCATTGCATTAACTGACTGAAAATTGACACACGTCACTATTACACCGCATACCGTCCCAATACAGACAGTGAAGTGTTGACCATATTATCCTTTGGTTTCAGTCGCGTATGCTGATGCCTGTGGCTGCACCTATTATAAAGACCTGCAGTGTGACCCTTCTGGAAATTGTCTGCATGGATGTACTGATCCCCACAACTACGGCCCCAAATGTCAATATGAGTGCCCAAATAACTGCATCAAACTCCAGTGTACCATAGCTTCAAATGGACAACCTAAATGTACAGCAGGATGCAAGGACGGATTTGGGGGGACACAGTGCAACATACCCTGTAACAAGAGATGTAAAAGATGTAACGGACCTGAAACCTGCCTGTCCTGCAATTCCCATTACTTTGGACGTGATTGTCACTCAGATTGCACTGAGACATGCCATGGAATGGCTTGCAATCATGACGGAAGTTGCAGGAGTGACACGTGTGCTGACGGGTGGTATGGCCCGGACTGCACCATGGAGTGTTCCGCCACATGTAAAACCTGTGAGAAAGTCATGGGAACGTGCACCAGATGCGATGTTGGGTGGTATGGACATGACTGTGCAGAATGTCCCCCTCTACCAGATGACACAAACTTCTGTTCAACGCTGCGTGACACAGACATTTGTCCAGTTTGCGCCTTTAAATACTATGTAAATCAAGATACTTGTGGTAAGATATACAAACACTTATGAACCTTGTGAATAATCTGAATTCACAATATATGGGATTTTAGTACCATAACCACTCAGTGTTTGATTTATGAAAAATGCCATGAAAAACATTGTTGCGATATATACGTTAATAAAAGCTATAATTATATCTAGTGGTTGTGACTGTCAGATTAATTAACCTATTTTCAGCAAAGTCTTCATTGTGATGATTTCAAAATAGTAGTTCTTAACATATTCAGTGTGAAATTGATTGCTTTGTTGGTTAATATAAAACTTATATTTTGAATAATTACCTAAGTGTACACTATGTGATATTGGTGCAGAAGTTAGTTTCACGTCCACTCAGTGTTAATCTCCGATACGACACATTTTACAGACGCTTGAAACAGTACTTACCTCACCTGTGTTTATGGTACAGCCCTGTCCTCAGTGGGCATTTATGAATGTAGCTATGTTCCGTTTGTTTCAGAATACGTCGTTAGTTGGTAATGGGTCTAGAAATATTGAAGTTAATAGTTATTTACTATTTTGTTTTTTGTATTTAGTCTTGACCTTTAGTTTTATTACCGCTTAGACCGCCTCCGTGGTCTAGAGGTATTTCCGCTTAGACTGCCGCCGTGGTCTAGTGGTAGAGCGTTCGCCCGGAGAGCGGAAGATCCGGGGTTCGATCCCCGGCCGCGTCATACCAAAAGAAGTCAAAAGATGGTACTTGTTGTTACCCTGTCTGGCACTCGACATTAAGGGACTAAAACAAGGACTGGTCGGCTCGGAGTCGGTATACTGTGTCTGGGGTATTCATGTTAAACTGCGGCATGGTATCTCAGTGTGCTAGCACTAGTACAAGCAGCCACACACACACAATTGCATGCACGTCGCTATATGAGTGCAGTAATCTTGGACGCGACGTTAAACTCCATTTCACCTCACCTATTACCGCTTAGGCATTGCCTAATATCCACAGAACACCTGGGGGAACTGGTGTCAATCTCATCTTGTATTTGTTTTTAAGGTGGCCCAACCAGGTGGAATCTAATCACAAGCGTCGGGCTTCTTTGCCTTTCAACATTCACGGTTCTGGTAAGTCAAGTACAGGCCAACACATGCAGCAGTGTCCAGGGGTCGAGTTGTAGCAATTCGGCAAAATGATCGACCCTACGTCAATTTCACAAGTCGAAGTCTGCCCTTCAGTTATACCTCTTAACATTGAATTAATATGAAACATATATTTCACCGATTTGGCTGTCTGAAGATCTGTGTCTGTGAATTAGAGTCTTCACCTGACACTGGCATGGTCTTGGATTTTGAAATCGACAGTGGATGGTCATGCGTTGGATTCACGGGGTTTAAACTATATCTGACATTTGTTTATGACAGGGTTTGTTTCGGAGATGGTTCCTCCAGCTTAATTTGTTTGACCCTTTCATATTTACGCTTCCGACTAAGGAGTATCCTTGTTGTGTGGCCCATAAACCGTTACGACATTAATTTTCTATTTATCGCACCTACTGAAAGCTGGAAAAGATATAAATTAAATAAATAAGTAATATAGTAAAATGTTATAATTAAATTCCATGTCTATATAACAATCAGTGATTCAAGAAGCCTGCTGCTGTCAAGCTGACTGCACTCGAAACATCCCCCCTTAGTCCTGTAATAAGCATGATCCAGTCCATAACTGGATGGAGTGCACGGGGGGCCCAGTCGTCTAAGAGAGGAATGCTGTCTGGAAAATGCATGGTTTGGTGTGTGGATGTCACGGTAATGTGGCCCCTATAGAGCCGGGTCTGACGTTGTTGTACTGTTGGTAATTATAACGTCCCAATAAGTTGAATTGACGACGTCAACCCGCGAGGTACCGAGTTCTAGCATTGCTCTGACTCGTCAGCTGTCATTTTCACTTAGGCGTGGTATTGTGAACTATCATCAGAACGATCACACATTGTGTTTGTCTTAGCTCTGCACTTCCCAAGCTTGTTCATAGTGTCAGTGATATGGGATTGGATATTTGGCCTTTTACAGAGAATATCAGAAGCAATCTCTCCGGAATATTCTTTACTTCTCCCTAAAAACATGCACTGCGGTCAAGTGTCAGTATTCATTGTAAGTTTATTTCTGAGGATTGTTAGTGTCAGCTAATTGAAGCGCTCGTAAAATAGAGTGACTACCTTATTTTTTAAAGTCCAAGCTCCGTCTAAGCGCTAGAGACCTTGTTTATACCGTTATCGATTGACTTCCGGGACCCAAATTTAAAACCTTATCCGTGAAGCTTCGCGAGGTAACATTTTCTTGGCATAGTGTAAAGTATGGAGTTTTTTCTTGGCATAGTGTAAAGTATGGAGTTTTTTCTTGGCATAGTGTAAAGTATGGAGTTTTTTCTTGGCATAGTGTAAAGTATGGAGTTTTTTCTTGGCATAGTGTAAAGTATGGAGTTTTTTCTTGGCATAGTGTAAAGTATGGAACGGAGTTTGGATTGGAATACTAGAATGGAATTTTACAAACTGTCGATTCAATTCACGATATTGTACCAATAAGGATCGGTACAACACAGGGTGTGTTTTCAGTGCGAGATGACGGTTCTCGAAGTAGCTGCTGCACTTCAGTTCACACAATGTGCCGAAATATCGAAATTTACGTCCATGAAGACATTGCCCTAAATGTCCACATGTACTCGCCAAACGATTGCATTTCATTGCATTGTAGATCACATGATAAGCCGAAACACCCTACTTCGCACCCATGACGACAATAACCTGTTACCTGATCACACTGGGACTTAAGCTCACGGACCTGTATTCATCGAAGCTGTTTCTTCGAATGAAACACCTGTTCTGATCAGTCAGTCTGCAGTGACGATTGCACGGAACATGACAGAACCTTCCGTAGTAGCCAGTCAAACAGCCGGCAACACATCCACCAGTGTCACACGAACTCCTGCAGTAGCTGCAATCTTCACATTTTGACCCAAAGAAACCTTCGATACATTGTGTACACTCTCCAGAATTTCTATCGCACTTAACACATCTGACGGAACACTTCTTGTCACACCGTTCATCCCAATATCCGTCTTTGCACGTACATGTTCCACTTGTAGAGAGGCAGTCATCATCTACACATCCTTCTGAACACCTGATCATGCATGTAGAGCCCCATGTTCCTTTCCTGCAGCCATCAGTACATATGCCTGTACCTTTTGTAGGATGCAACCGGCATCTACTGTACAGACACCCTTCACCACATCTAAATTTGCAATGGTCACCGTAGTATCCGTCTTCACAGGGAATTGCGGCTGATCCCTAATGAGATGACTCTAAGTTGCAAAATAAAAATGATGCTAATAACATGGTTAAGGGTTGAATATATAAGTAATAATGATAATTTAATTCTATTGGAAAAACTAAATCTATCTCTGTCTTCCTTTTTTTTTTAGCTTAGCATTTACAGGGCCATGAACAGTGTCATAATATCTGTTTACTTCATTCGAGTAAGTATGGTTTGACGCCGCTTTTAGCAATACTCCAGCAATTTCACGGCTGTGGACACCAGACATGGGTTTTACTCATTTTGCCCATGTCGGTAATCGAGCCCTGGTTATCGGCGTGACGAACGAACGCATTCACCACTAAGCTACCCCACCGCCCCGGCTTTATTGAGAAAGTTACTATTGATGAAGGTAACAACTTTAGACTGTGTTAAAGCAGAGTTTAAAACGGCTACTAGTCCAAGACTAGTGAAAATCTAATTAAATCCAACTAGTTATTTTCTCCTGAAATTTACTTATGTTATACAAACCACTGGTATGAAAGTACCTATTGTCTACCCCTATAATTAAGAGTTAGAAAGAAATTCACCGAGAAACCGACAATAAACAACCATCCTTTGATTTATGCCTGCAATTTGTGTATTTATAGGACAATGCTTACCACTGAGGTAGAGGTATGATGCTACAAACAACGAAAGGTATTCCAACATCTTCATTCCTTCATGAAATACCCGTCAGTAATTATGTAGGCGTAAAATTAATTGTTACCGGCAACAGCGTAGTACACGGTCGTTATTTCACCCAGTGACACGTTGCTTTCAGTTTCAGAAATATGATCGAAAGAGTACAAAGAATAATCTGTATAACATGTCCGCATTATAACAAAGCGCTGTCCAATTTCATCCTACCCAGTAACCTTACTTGAGTACTTTAGTCCGACATTGAGACATTTTTTAAGACAATGTTTATTACTATGAACAAAAAGCAATATTAGAATTAGTTAAAGGAGAAGTGTACACTAAAAAAATTCGAGTTGCATTTTCATATGAAACAAAACGCATTTTTAGAATTACAACGATGTCCAGTATTGACGAACAAAATTATACTTCCGTATTTTTTCCGCACATCGCCTATCATAACCATGTAACAGCTTTTGCTGTGCGTATACTTTTAAGTAGAATGAACATGTAGGTTTCTGGCGTGCCCAAGGGACGCAACTCTGCACAGCGAATCGCAGCCCCCCGTGCCCCCTCCACGCAATTGGGATACGATGACATGCATCAATGAACTCAGTGAGCCTGACCACCCGATCCCGTTAGTCGCCTCCTACGACAAGCATGGTCACCTGTTACGGCAAGCTTGGGTTGCTGAAGACCTATTCTAACCCGAATCTTCACGGTTGGTTGGTTGGTTGGTTGGTTTGTTGTTTTACGCCGCACTCAGCAATATTCCAGCTATATGACGGCGGTCTGTAAATAATCGAGTCTGGACCTGACAATCCAGTGATTAATATCATGAGCATCGATCCACGCAATTGGGATCGATGACATGCATCAACCAAGTCAGCGAGCCTGACCACCCGATCCCGTTAGTCGCGTTTAACGACAAGCATGGAATCCCGGAATCTTCACATTTCGGAAGATAATGCGTCAAATTGTTTGCATCTGTTGAAGTTGCCAAAGACAATATTGTGTGAACAAAAGTCACATGCCAGGGAATGATAAAGTTGTCGCTGTCCATTTACACACGTAGCTCGAGAGTGTACAGACAGTTGATGAACAGTGGAAGCTTTCGCCTTCCATCTTGAAGCACATTGAGTAGGAGTAAGAATTGTGTCAATCAAAAACCTGGCATCAATTTTGACATGATGACATGGATGTACCTTCAGGCGAAGCACCAACAGTTGCCCCCAGCTGGCTTCCATGGTGGGGTTGTCATGGACGAGATGGCAGTTCAGAATTTGATCCTAGTTCGGAAAGGTGACAGACGCAAGTTTGTTTGCTTTACTGACACAGGCAGAGAAGCTGAGTTTCTCTTTAGTAAGGATGGTCCAACCATGGTAATTCATGTAATTCACTTCATGTTTCATGGATTCACATGTTTCAGGTTCCTGGTGGCATATTATCCCACCAACTAGGCTTCAGGACCTCAGCTGTACAGGATGTTCTGGAATGTTGTGAAGGCTCTTGAAACTTGGGGATTCTATTTTCTATATTCATGCATGGATGGATCTTCCAACAACCGCTTGTTCACAAGATGCATTTCTCAGAATCCTAAGTTGAGCAGCATATGAGTGTACTCAACCGTTACAGTGGTGCTGATACCATTGTATTTCTATCAGATCCATGGAAGAGACGAGAATGCGAATCATATCCTGGGGAATGGTAGCCTACTTGGGCAACGCAAAAGCCAACTGCTGCAACGTCTGGGGTTGTGGTTAACGTCGGAGTAGCCGCCAATCAATTCATCCCACAGGTGCACTATCGGGTTCAAATCCGGGGATCTGGAGGGCCCGGGGGAGAACATCAACGTTGTTGTTGTGTAGACAGGCTCTTGTGGTCCGTGCTGTATGTGGTTGATTGTTGCCCTGCTTGCAAACACTGTTACCGTTGGCTGCAATTGGGAGGACGGGTGGTATCGTTGAGCCATAAGATTGCTCTTGGATATGGACCAAACCTATCCGCCCACATCATAACGCTACCCCCAGCAAATCTGTATGCAGTTTCCGGTGTAAAGTAAATACCTAGACGCAGTATTTCTGGACTTCAGCAAAGCCTTCGACATGGTATGGCACGACGGACTCCTCACAAAACTAGCAAAAATGGAGTAGAAGGGAACACCGCAAACTTCATAGACACCTTCCTGCAAGACAGGTCGCTATCAGTTAAAATAGTGAACAATCAATCTGATCCTATGTCACTGGACAGCAGCACGCCACAAGGTGGCAATATAAGCCCAACCTTGTTTAACATCATGATCAATGA